AGATTAATTCATTGATTCTCAAAGTAACTTGTGCTGAACCTTGTAAGAGGAACATCTTGTAAGATGCTAAGAAAAAAATGGTCCCGCTATCAAACCAGGTTTAAAGAATTTGTATTTTATTTCCTCTTGCAAATTTCAACCTCTAATAAATCCTGTAGTAAAACATTAACTATTTAATTTTGTTTTACCAAAATTACCCACTGTTGACTCCTAATATGTATCAGCAGTTGAGTTCTTCAGAGCACAGTTGGGGAAAGACCAGCTGCTTGTATAGAAGAGCCAATCAAACTGAAGGCTACCACTGTGCTATTTACAAGAAAGGGTTTACGTATGAGAGAATGAAAAGAAGAAAACTATTGTAGCTTCAGGTATGATTTCATTTCAGAAGCATTTACAGGACAGAAAGGACATTGCACTAATCAAACCAATCTTAATACTAAAAACATTAATAGCTATCAAAAATTAATTTCTTAAGGATGAGCTATTAAGTGCCATAACAATCATCTAGGAAGATGCAAATCTTGGACAGTGGAAGGTTATAACTATTTTAACAGGATGTTAAATGGTGAGCTTGGCCGCAGCAGCAAATTATAGCTGCATTCCAAAAAATTGATCAAGGAGGTTTTGCAAACCAGTTACACACTATGGAACCCCTTTACCCACAAGGCCTTGAAAGGGTTGAGCAAATGGAAATAGAAATGGATTTTGTGGAGAGTTATGCTGTGGTTCTTCACCTGTGGCTCTAGGGAGACCTCCCTAGAGCCACTAAGGGGAGCTGTGGGGTGTTGCTTGCCTCACCTCTTGCCTGCAGTTGAGACACGTTCTCTTGTATGACTCTGGCCTGGGGGATCTGGGTGGGATCGATCGCAGCTTTGGCAGAGATGGGGGAGGCTGCGTGAGTTTGGCTGGGACTTCTCTCCAAGAATCAGGCCAAAGAGCACCGGATGTGGGCTAAGATGGCAGATAGAGGCAGCCTGGGGCTGTTCTAAATCCTGCCCAGTAGGCTATCTGGAGTGGATGCAGGAAAACCAGAGACTGGGGGAGAATATCAGCTGGAGGAAAATGAATTGCCTGCAGCACAGAAAGTTCAGGCAAGTGTTCCCAAGCTGAGGCTTCTGAGGAACTGTCCACACAAAACGGCTCCAACCTCTGCCAGTCCCACCGTAGGAGAAGCCTGCTTACGACAGTGCCTGTTAAACCGTTGATATGCTGCGGCCTTTACCTCTCCCACTGCCCCTGCTTTGAACTTGCTGGGCACAGAAATCTAGGCCAGCTCACTGGGAGAGGAGAGAAGCCCAGCAGAGAAAAGACAAAGGACCATCATCGGTGACCAGGCTACAGCGAGCCCCAGTGGCAGAAGTTTTAAATGCTCATTCTGCATCGTGAACCAAGACTGCCTTAACTTAAAATGACTATAGAACTTCTATTATCTACAGTGACAAGGAGGTCACAGCACCTGACCTCATGTTCCTACAAGGGTTAGTGCATTACCCCCACTGACCAGGCTTAAAGGGACACTGGGAGACAAAACCAACCTCCTTCCACGATTACCCCATGAGTTCTGCTTGTTCAATGTACCCTTTACACTGTTAAAGACAACCAAGACGGGCATGTGTGAGAAGATATTGGTAGATGCCTGCAATACAGCAGGGCCTTGTAATAACGTAACATGCCACTAAATATAGGCTGGTAAAATCCTAATCCTGTCGTGTGTGTAGAAGCAAATCTACCCTGGGTTATTTTAGACACATCTGTAAGATGAAGGCTAAAGACTGGGATAAGAAGTGATGTGTTGAATCTAACTGAAGGCTGGCAGAGGGGCGAGGCCTGTTGCAGCAGGTCCTATGGTCCCTCCATTCACCATTTTGGGGGTTTCCGGAGTCCCAAGTGCCAGGCTTGACGCTGGGGTTTCAAAGCTGTTTCCCCAGCACCTGACAATTCAGCAGGGGAGACTGACAACGCAACCACTAACGGACTCCAGAGATCATACGAGCTAAGGAAAGCCAGAGTAGGTCAGCGTGGAGGTTCATTTACAAGTGAGGGTTAACAATAGAATCAGGCTTTGAACTACAGGTGGGCATTTGCTAGACTGAGAAGCATTTAACCTTGCAGGTAACATGAGAAATCAGGAGGTAGTCTCACCTGTGATTCTTACATTGGTGAAGCTTCAGAGTCATCTGGAAGCTCCAAACCCCCAGTGATTCTATCTCTGGTAGAAATCAAAAGCTCAACAGTATAGTCCCTCAACCCTCCCAAGCTCCCACATGATTCTGATACAGTAAATTTTGGCGTTTGGGAACCATTGGAAGGGCTCAGCAAAAGGATCTGACTTGGGTTTATGAAGGTCTGGTTGGCTGTTCTGCAATGGTGAATGGTTTTACTGAAATTGGTACCCACAGAAAGCCCAACAAACACAACCAACAACTCTTGTTAAAATGAATTAACTTTTATTGCTATTTTATAAAGCTTAATACTTTGCTAAAGGAAAAAATTGTATAGATAATATAGCCATTAGAAGAAAGAGCAGAGCTAAGTGATACAAAAAAAGCAGTAAGCAGCAATAAAATTAATACCTACACAAAACTAGCAGTGCAATAAGATAAAGCAGAAAGCAGCTTTACACTGGGAAAAAAGTTATTTAAATACAGAAATAGCACCTTACAAAAAGGAACTGAGAAATGTAAACTTGGTAGGTAGATTCAAGTATAAAAGTTATACCCCCAACTCTTGTACCAGAATGAAAGGGTTTCACAAACCCTGGACAGTGTAGGGCACACACACACCTCCCTCAGTGCTGACTCAAAGCTGCATTTCCTTAGCAGGATCACTGACAATCTTTTTTTTTTCTTTCTTCTTTTACGAAAGTATACAATGACAGACTCAAGATTGCCACGGCTTCTTCACCACCCCTAATATCCAAGTCTAGCTCAGCTGCTCCACTACCATCAGTTGCTCTGTAACAAACAAATTCATTTTCCCGACGGAAACAACCACTGCATTATTATTTCTACACATCACAAAGACACATGAAGAAGTGGGTACTGAAAACAAAAGGAACCTGCTCTTGGTTTTCTATTGCTAAGTATGGTCACAGGATCATAATCTCATTTATGGGTTTGTTTCTTAACACCCCTCAAGAACTGTGAATCCTCTGAGGTTTATGTGGTCATATCATGAACAGAATTAAAAAAAAAAAGGATAGCAGAGAAGTTAAAGTGGCGGGCATCCAAGAACAGAGAGGGGAAAATCGGTCTGTGTTTTCATCTAAATATAGACCTTGCAAGTGAAAATATTTTGTGGAAGGTCTGAAGCATTGATATATTTAAAATGCATGTATCCTGTGCAGATTTATATGCCATGTGTCTTATAATCTACTTGAAAAAGGCATATTTTTGTTTCGATAGGGAACCCATCATATTAGTTCAGGGTGCAATTAGATTAGCTGATGATGAGAATCACATTTTTTATCAGTTTAACTCTAGAGAATTAAACTCGAGAGAGTTCACAGTCTTGTGAACAAGGGGGAAAACATATCATCTTGTAAACTTTAAAAGTTTAGTGTTGATAAAAATTTTATATAATAGCAAATTTATTTAATCTTGCTACCTACCTCAAGTTTTCAAAAATCTTGTGGGGGTGATAAGGCTAATATTATCCTGTAGTTAATATAAAGCTACTTTATTCAGACTCCCAGAGTCTCTTAAATTAATATTTTTATTCTTTCATATAACATTTTCTTGGGTCCAAAAAATAAAGATAAAATCCTACACCAAGATTCCACATCTAAGAAGTATAGAAAAGGAGAGAGGAATAAAGAAAGGAAGGAATGAAGGAAAGGAGGGAAAAATGAAGGGAGGGAGGAGGGAGGGAGGGAGGGAAGGAGGAAGCCATTTGCTCTGAAGAGACAACGAGGTGAATAATACATCTAGGCATACAAAGATCTAGTTTGGCTACTTAATGAAACCCTAAAGTAATATGGTTTAACAAAGGGATACTGGTAAGTTTCCAGAATTACATTTATGCTAGAACAACGATCCCCTGCACTCTGTTCTTATTTTGCAGTTCTAGGAAAAATAACTCTGATTTGAATATTCTTGGATTCTGAACATCAATGTGTCCGTTTTCCCTCTTATTCTTCCCAACATGAAGAAAAAAAAGTAAAAGAAAAAAAAATAAAGTATCACCTATTGTCCTACATCAATTTCTACACTGTCACTCTTCAGAATTCTACTAAAAGGTCCCAACTAGGTTCCAATTTTCCATATAATTTGTTTCTACCATCCTGATTTATTCAATAAACAGCAATTGCTAGAAGACATCCCATACCTGACGTTCTACAGTTAACATTTAAATTAAAACACAAGGGCATGTAGTGAAGGATGTAAAAAATGGGGTTTTTTTTTTTTTTTTTTTTTTTACAAACGAACAGTAAAACCTCACCATTCACACAGTTATTGAGAAGCAGCTATCTGGCTGCTAGAGTTCATCTTAATTCTCAGGTCCAGCTCAGGTTAGCACAGTTCATTACAGCAAGGTGTGTCTTCACAGTTATTTTGGTCTTGACATTCCGTCATGTATACACACTTATCCACATTATTACTAGGTTGTAAAGTAAGTGCAGGGCAAATTATAGGAAAAAAGTACAAACATTCAAGTCGTCATACCCTGAAAAACATGTGTTTTGCTGTCGTTGTAAACTTTTTGCACTAAATCCCACTTCAGGAAAAAAATAAATAATACCATAGGATTCACACTGAAGTTGGCTTCCTGATGAAGCCGAAGGAAGCAGTAGCTTTTTCAAACTGCAGAAAGGAAGTTTCTCTCACCACAGATCTACTCGGGGTGAGTGGGAATACACGTCAAGAACGCTCAACCCAGTTAAGTGCTAGACGGGCCTCCCCCACTTTAGAAAAACCACAAGGCTCCAGGAGGCTGTTCAGATCTCCTTCCAGCAACAAGATGATTCTTGAATGAAAACCACAACAGTCAGTTGGTGCTTCCACTGTGACACCACGAACAGAGTCTGGACTCTAACTGGTAAGAAATGCACAATTAGGAACAATTACTTTCAGGAAAATAGATGCTTCCTGAAGATGGATAGTTAACATTAGAACCAGGGGATGCGGGAGAGAGGAAAGATGCACGCTGAAGACCGGATGGTTTGCATTCTAGTTTCCGTTCACCATTAGGACATGACCTGTAACACGGAAATTCAGGCACCTCCATCCCACCCCTGCTGGGCAAAGCGTCAGGTTAGTCGGCCCCGCCGCTGGGGATTTCAAGCCTCCTCTGTGCTGAGCTGGTGTTTCGTGACTGATTCCTTTCTCTTCTCCTAAGGACAGGGTCTCCGAGGCTGCCAGGCGTCTTGAAAAACGTCTCTCGATGTGTGCGTCGGATGCTCTTGGGGGTCACTGGAACTGGTGACTAAAATAGAGAAGAAAAAAAAAAAGAGTACATAAAAACAGAAGTGAAGTCAAATTGTACCCAGTCTCTGAACTGGAAGCCCCCTCTTTTTTTTTTCTTTTTTTAATTGAAGTATAGTTGATTTACAATATTGTGCCAGTCTCTGCTGTACAGCAAAGTGACTCAGTTATACACATAGATGATCGTTTTTTATATTCTTTTCCATTATGGTTTATCGCAGGATACTGAATATAATTCCCTGTGCTCTACAGTAGGACCTTGTTGTTTATCTATCCTACATATAACAGTTTACATCCGCTGATCCCACACTCCCAGTCCTGCCTCCCCCTTGGCAACCACCAGTCTGTTCTCTATGACTGTGAGTCTGTTTCTGTTTTGTAGATAGGTTCATTTGTGCCATATTTTAGATTCCACATATAAGTGATATCATATGGTATTTGTCTTTCTCTTTCTGACTTACTTCACTTAGTATGATCATCTCTAGTTAAATCCACGTTACTGTAAATGGCATTATTTCATTCTTTTTTATGGCTGAGTAGTATTCCACTGTATATATGTACCACATCTTCTTAACCACTCATCTGTCAATGGACATTTAGGTTGTTTCCAGGTCTTGGCTATTGTGAATAGTGCTGCTATGAACATAGGGGTGCACGTATCTTTCTGAATTATAGTTTTGTCTGGATATATGCCCAGGAGTGGGATTGCAGGATCCTATGGTAATTCTATTTTTAGTTTTCTGAGGAATCTCCACACTGTCCTCCATAGTGGCTGCACCAACTTACATTCCCACTAACACTGTAGGAGCCCCCTCTTGACCTGTGTCACTGTGATCCCCACGCAGGTGTTCCATCCTCTTTGCTTTTCTGTCACACTCCTCCAGTGTATCTCCTTCACAACACTTACCACAGTTGGAAATTAGCTGATTTATTCTGTGTGCAGAAAGGCAGCCTAGCGAAGAGGTCACAAGTGTGGCACTGACACCTGCAGCCAGGGTTTGGGCTCTGCCATAACTAGCTGTGTGACCTCGGGCAAATTACTTAACCAGTCTGTCCCTCAGTTTCTTCATCCATAAATGGGGACGATAAAAGTACCAACTTAGCAGGGTTGCAACAATTAAAGGAGATGATATTAATAAAGCACTTCAGATCATGCCAGGCAAGTAGTATGTGCATGTGTCTTTGCTCTTTTTGTTTACTTGCTAATATTTATCCTCTCACGTTAAATATTTATCCCTTTAATGTGCCCTAAAAGGGCAGGGACCATTATCCTGTTTACTGTTATATCTTTACTGCCTAGGTCAGTGCCTGGCACATAACTGGTGATCAAGAAGCATATGCTATATTATAATTGCCTTGTTTAAAAAGTAACATGTATATTTCAATGTCTAACAAACTTTTGAGCCCCTGAATTACTTATCTAAAATACTTTTGGTCACAACGTAACTCTTTCTCTGGGAGAGAAATAATTACTCTGAACGATGCCTAATGCATAACAGGAATTCAACAAATGCTCACTGACTGAACTACAGATGGAGTTGGGGGAGGCAAATAAAGTACTGATTAATTTATATCGATTACAGACATTTATCTATGTACATCTGTATCTATTTTGAATATGTATATACATACACATCAAGGAAACAATGGATATATTAACATATAGCCATTGCCTCCTAAACAATGCATTTTATGAATGATAGACGATAAAAATCTTTGAGCTAGTATCAAGACTTTCGTTTCCCTTGTTTCTATAGCTGCACAATTAAAATTCAGGACGGTCTCTGTTACTGACCTAATGAAATGAGAGCTTGGAGAAATCATCTGAATATTCAGCATGCATCAAAAATCCCCATGAACTATGCTTTAAATAAGTTCTTTCTGATTCTAAGAAACAGACTGACACCTAAAACGAGCTTTGCCTCTAAAGCACAGGATCTCCCACCTTCTGTCTCCATGCTTTATGAAATAAGCAGATACCTCTGGGTCTACAGTGGAAGCCAGGTAGAATCTGATGTAGCACCCCTGTCCTACGGTTGTTTGACTAAAATCGGATTAAACGCAGGCAAATGCTATCACGGAGTGATGCTCCTTCTTGTGCGGAGCTGAAATGAACCTTCAGGACTCACCTGTTGTAATTTTACCACAGAGGCTGGATGTCCTCCGTAAACGGGGGACTCGGGCTGGATGATGCTGTGTGATCTTGACATCACCGGACTCAGGTTAAGTGAGTGTGGACCCTGAAGCTGAGCATCTGTGGAGGGGAGTGTCGATGACTTTGGATTAACCAGGGTAGCAGGGCCGATGAGAAGGTGAGCTGTTGATCCAAGGCCAGGCAAGCCAAGAGTCACAGGTCCCGTGCTTGGGAGAGCACTGGAAGCAGAGGACACTGGCCCGGGCATCGTGGGTGAATAGAGAACAGGAAAAGGGCCCAGCGTCGGCGATGGCAAGACCATGCATGGAACACTGAGCGGCGGCAGCTGACCTGAAGACGGTCCCACACCACGGGGGGTCTGATTGCCAGATAAGAGCACACTGAAACCATTTAATCCTGGAACAGAAGCAGAACAAGGTGAAAGTCAGGGCAATGTGAAGACACCATCCAAGCTCCCACCCCTCAGGGCCCTTTCAAACGGGAGCCCACTGTCAATCAACCCTCAAGCTGCAGCCTGCCCACCCCCTCTGTGCTCTCCCAGCCCCGCACCGCCTCCTTGCTACAGTGGCCACCGCTGAATTCCCAGTTACCTATGTGACAGTTTGGTGGATGCTTGAGTCTCCTGAGAGACTTTATTAACATGAGCTCCACTGAATCCAAATTGAGGAGGAAAGTGAACTTGGTTGGGAACAATGATAGCTTTATTTTTACAAACTTCTAACAGAAATTTATATTTCCCTCAATTAAGACCATGGGCAACAAATCACAACAGAATGAATGGTACCTTGACTTTATCACTAGTAAAAAGCACAGGTGTATTCATGTAATGTTACCACGAAGGCAGATGTCTTAAGAGTCTAACGGTCCCCACAACTTTGAAGTTATGAGAGGCCTGCACTTGCTGTCAGATCTTTTTATTACTATAATTAAAAAAAAATCCTTTTCTAACTGGATTTCAATATAATTGGCTTCCTCTGTAATCCTATGTATTTAATTCTCTGCATTTGTAAACATCCTGAGGAGGAATCCACAGCCTTCACCATAGAGTCCAAGGGCCCATGGCCCAGAAAAAGCTACTGATCCCTATGCTGGGCTGTCACTTTCATTCTGAAGAAGCTGGGTCTGTTTTTTTTATTTATTAAGGTATCAGCAACACTGAGTAGCGTGCTTAGACGAAGCCCTAACAAAATATTTGCTAAAGGAATAAAGAATGTTTTCTAGATAAATGAGAAATAACAAACACCTACCTAACCTGTGATGGGAACAAGGGATTGAAGAAAATCACTTTAAGTCTCTTTGCAAGAGAGCAGCTTCATGTACACAATGCATATTTTAAAAATTAGGTATCTGTTATATTTCAGCTTTATTTCAAGAGTAAGAGCATTTATTGAGTCTCACTAAGCGTCAGGCACTATTATTCTAAGTGCTTTAGATGTATTATCTTATTAAATTTAATCCAATTTTCACAGCACCCCCATGAAGCAGGTGCTCTTATTATTGCTGTTTTACCAATGAGGAGGGCTGAATACTTAAGTTCACGCAGATAGTAAGTGGTTTTAATGTCCAGCCCTCTCACTCCAGCCCTGCACTCGACCACAAGGACACGTCAGCACTTCTGAATATTTAAGAGATCAGCATGTGAGCTGCACATGGTGGCCAGGACGTTCACATTGTTAAACTGAACCACTGCCAGATTCAGCTGAATTATAAAAACAGAATCATCTTTTGAATACGTTGTGCTTTTTACCAAGTAAATTTGAATGCATTAAAAATAAATTACCTGCCCTAACTGTTTTCTCCTTATCCGTGAGGTTGGTGAAAGTGAAAGCAGCCTCTGCCTTCATTTCGTCGATGGAGAAAGCAAGGGGCTAGGAGTGAAATGACTCAGAGGCAGCTCATCAATGCACCAGCTTGGTCGGGTGACATGAACAAAAATTTAAACATCAAATTTATGACCCGAGTACCCCAAGGGACTCGAAGACATGACACCCCTTACCTGCTGGCGACTGTACATAAAGATACTGCAGCAAAGAGGACTCTTTGGTGCTTTCATTTTCTTTCAAAGGCTTTTCTATCTCTGTATTTCTAGAAGGATTTCCCCACTCCGAAGAAATGAAGCAGTCTGCTGTAGCCTTTCCCGAAACCTCCTTTGCAGCAGAAAGTTGTCCATTCATGTGAATGTCTTCATGGGGTGCAGGTCCCCTTTTATCCACGGTCTTGGAAGAGGCAATGTCTGTGGAATCTGAGGGTTTCTAAGCACAACCCAGCCAGGAACCAGAAAAGCAAGTCAAAACCCCAGCAGTAAATTATAATAACAGCTTTCTCCAAATAGCTAACGTATAAACAAAAAGGTCAGACACAGCTGTGTGCCACCCTGATTTGTGTATGTCAGTTGTTTCTGTCATGTTTATAGGAATGGCCTGAAGATCACTGTCACGTCATGCGCTTCTGTAGGCTTACGATTTCTTAAGCACAGAAATGATGGAGATTTTAATAATGGGAAACTGGGTATGGTGTTTAGACTTTGAAATAAATTTCTGAGCTGGAACACATAAAGGGTGTTGATGCTGCAGGCTTTTAGGGCTTGATAAGAATTGCAGGGCTGACCCAAAGCTGTCTTGGTTATCTAAGACACGTATATATAGATATACCAGTCAGTCTTTTCCTTCTGTTTTGCAACCCCAGGCTATATACAAAATTAGAAAAATTCATTCTGGCAGGAGGAAGGCATAGAGGAGGAAGGGTCTTAATTAATGGACTGATTTCCATGAGGTGTGCCTCACTGATGCTCTACAAACGGCTGCAGGGAGAGTGCTTCTGCTTTCTGAGAGTTTGACCAGTCATATCTCATTAACCTCCAAAACGCTACTGTGGACAGCTCAGATTTTTGTTCTTTTCATTTTGTGGCTAGGGAAAGGGGCTCTCTGAGCAGTGACCCGAGCACTGACATAGACACTGAGGGCCAAACGGCACCTACATTCCTGACTGTGGACCCCAGGTGCACCCTGGATTAAGATGATTATTTCATCAACGTGTTAAAAAAAAAAAGTATAGCAAAAGAGACTGGGAAAGAATATACAAACATGTTGACAGTGATTGCCTCTACGGGGTGGGATCATGGGTAGGTTTTTTTCCCTTTATACTTCTTAGCGTTTTATGCAAAGCGAGTTTTAGAAAGATCACTTTTGTTACAGTACTGCTTCATGGCAAGATTATTTGGGGCAGCCAGTCCTGGGCTTAATTATACAAGTGACACATGCACCACTTGCTATTCCAGACGCAGTAGCTTATCTGTGTGTCTCTATTGGGAAGGAACTACGGGTCGACGGGCCAATCAGCTAGCACGTCCACGGGAACCCCTTACCTTGGGCATGACGAGGGAGAGGGGGCCGTCTTCGCAGTCCCTGCTTTGCCTCTTAGTGGCCGGCTCTTCCTCCTCCCGGGGCTTCCTGTCCTCCCCTAGGCGCTTCTGAACTGAGGGCGTGGCTGAGCGCTCTGCTGCGCCTTCCGAGCCCCTGCTGTCCCTCTCTGACCCCGACCCCGGGGACGGCGGCTCTTGCAGGCTCCCACACAGCATGAACAGCGAGGTGGAGGGCACGTACACCAGGGGCTGGCCAGCCAGCAGAGCTGGCTTCAGGCTCTCCGCTTCCAAGGCGGCAGAGGCGAGGGAGACACCTCCTTGTCCGTTCAGACCATTCTGGGCAGAGAAGGCCTGCAAGTCCGTTGGAGCCACGGAAAGTACTGGGTGGGCCAAGGCATTAACACAGTATTCTGAGTCAACAGAGAGGCTGGGGAAAGGAGCAGCGGCCTCCAGGCTGCTTAATGGAGGTATCGCTCTCTGATTGGCAAAAGCTTCTGCCCTGGAATAAAAGAAACAGAGTGGGACCCATCCAGTTACCACATTCTACCAACTCCTGACTCCGCTTTCCTAAAGAGAGATGTACCAAAGCAGGAGTGAGAGAATACTGCTCAGGATGCTATTAAAGCACACTCTCTGAGCCCGCGAGCCGACTCTAGAGGCAGATGACCATATCACCTGGATGGATGGTTAGGGGTGGGGTAGGGGGATCTCAGGTGAGGGCTAATAGAGGCTCCTCCCCTGCCTCTCCCACAGCCAGCAGCCACCAGCTACCCAGCACGTACCCCTTCCCAGGCACACAGATGCTACGATGACTAGCATAATAGGGTAATAATTTCACTTAATTATTATAACACTAGCTACTCTCATCCATCCCCCCTGCCCCCGTTTACTAGGGAGGAAAACTGAAGCTCAGAGGCTAATCCACCCACTGAAGGTCACCCAGTGGGGCCTCACAGTCAGTCACTGTGAGAGATCCTGGGTAGATAAGAGTCTAGGCTAGACATTGATTTAAAGGACACACCTAGTTTGTCTCAAATCCACTGTGAGCTAAATGAAGTGGGCAGTGAGTTGAGGAAATAAATTTATCTACAAAATTATTTTCTCTCATTCTTGTCCCATTCTGCTCCATATTACTACAGAATTTTTAGGCAGCACACATTCAAAATTAAGTCCCCTCAATCTAGGAGATTATAAACGATGTCTGGGCCTTTTATAGAGAAAAATTTCCAAATACTAGAAAGCATGTTTATATTTTTAGGATTATTTTGCAAGTAGATGAGGAAGACTCTTTGGAGACTCCTTTAAGGACTAGTAAATAGAGAACAGGGATTTCCCTAAACCTCTGTGAGGGAATCACTGAGAGCAATTTTGCCCACATTCTCACCCCCTGTGGTGCTGGGAATAAGCAGAGTGCACGGGGCTGCAGAGATGAGTAAAGCTCTCCAAACACAGCCTCCCGGAACAAGTGATGGCTATCACTCAGCTCCATGAAACAACGTGCCCATGCTGACGGTCGCACCCACTGCCCTACCTCTGGCCATTCACCTTCAACCTCCCCATCTCCACCAGTAAGATCACCGTCACCTGAGACCCAGGTGTTCTTTGTGGTGCCTCTTTTCTACTTCAGTGACTCTTGCTGACTCACTGTCTTATACTGATTTCCATTTCTTTCCATCCCCAGCTGACACGGCTCAGACCAGCACCACAGCAGACCAGAATGACTAGGAATGCCCTAGTCTATGATCTCCTAATCTGAAGCCCTTCTCTATTCCAAGCCCACCTGCTTAAAGCAGCCAGAATGGTCTTCTCCAGTGAACCTACAGTAACTCTTTACCATCCGTCTAATAAATCCAAACTCTTCAACTTGGCTTTCAAAACTTTCTGCCAACTTGACCTACTTACCTCCAATATCCCAAGCTCTCCTTATAAATACTTCCTTTCACGATCCTATTTGGACAAATCATTAGGGCCAGACTAACGAGTTTATTTCCCCTCCACTCCCTGATCCTGGCTCAACAATCTGTTTCTTCCCATGTCCGGCATTATAAACCCCTCCTGTCTTCGCTTTAGCATTTCCTCTGCTTCCTCTGCTAATATATGATTTCCTTGAAAATCAGACCCCAAATCTGACTCAGCTCTGTCGCTTAATAGCATTGTGACCTTGGGCAAGTTACTTAACCTCTCTGGATTTCAGTTTCCTCTGTAAAATGAGGATAATAGTACCAACCTCAAAAGGTTGTTTTTGTGATATTAGGTGAGATAATACACATAAAACTTGAGGAATAGTACCTGGTAGTTCATAAACAACGTTAGCTACGATGATGACAAAGTGATTCATGGGACTGTGATGTGTCATTTCTCCGTGTCACATTAGTAGTGACTTGTCTTTTCTCATTGTATTTGTCTTTTTATTTATCTTTTTCCTTGTAAGCTTTCATGGCCTAGGGGAATAAATTTTTCATACTTTTGTGTCCCTGATGCCATATCCTGCACAGTGTTGGGCACAAGGGGGAAACTTACAAAATTCTTAATAAACAAATGGCTGACTTTTGAGCAGGACTGTTAAATTTTACCTTTTGATGGGTGGCATTTCAATTCAGTCAAAGTTAAGACTAGGAAATAGAAAAATATACACTTGGAGTTTTTAAGACTACTTACTGTGAATTGTCTTCTATTTTCTGTCTGTAGACAGCTGCCAGACTTCCAATTTCTAAGGAGTAGCCACCTGATCCTAAAAAGGAAAATGAAGGTCTAGTGAATATAGCAAGGGACTTAGACACACCAATTATATACAGCAGGATTCATTATTCACAGCTCAGGGATTATAAGACTATCTCAAATCCATTCTGGTTTTGATTCAAATAGAGAAATGTCCAGAAGCTAGCTGTTAATGGTGAATGCAGGTCTCATCAAAGATTAGTAAGAAAACAAAACAAAGCAAGTATTGCTTTGTAAGTCTGATGAATTGCTGAGATGCCTCAAACAGGCCAACCATGGCAAAACAAATGATCTTCAATCTTTTAAGGCTGGCTAGAATAATTTCAGGCATGGGGCTATGTTTATAACTTTGAAGTCACCAACTCTTTTACCACCCCCCGCTCCCGCCCAGCCCAAATCATTTCACTTGAGGTAAGTGAAAAAAACAGGCAGAGCCTAGATTTAGCTCACTTTAAAATGACAGTGCATGGGTCGGGCTGCAATTACATGGTGACTGATGGATTCCATGGATTAAGTAAGGGCAGATACCTTGTTTTTCTCTGTACGGGCTGCTGGGTTCTGAGTTCACTTTCCTCTGGATCCTCTCAGAAGCCTGATCTGAGTTAAAAGAGCCATGTCGAGCAAGCTTCTGTTTTGCACATAATTGAACGTGGCCGTATGTTTCTCTTTTCAATTCTGGGAGGACAGATGCAGAAACATCCACTAGTTCTTCATCTAAATAAATAAGAGAATTGGTAGTGTTGTTATACAGCTATAATTCAGGATAATTTTAGCCTTTTTAAGATATGGCTTTGAGGACCTATCATTGTAATGGAGCTACCCTATAAATTAAAAACTAAGACAATCAAAGGAATTTTATGAGCCTTGTGTCAAACCCCAATTTCTTTCAATGTATTGTACTAGTCCTTTTTAAAAGTTAGTGGATGACTTTAAAGTAAGACTGAATCCATATATATTCTAAAATTATCTAAACTGCAACAAAAGTAGAACAGGATGTTCTATAACCCAAATTAGAATGGACCTGACATTTTAGATGCTTTCTTTGGGCAGAGATATCCAAGAAAAACCCAACCATACTCAGCCCAACATGCAGATTTAGAGATTTTAACATTAATTGAGATCATCCTCTTATGCCACAGCCCTAGGGCAATGAGTATAAGAACCTCTGTTTTCTATTATTATGCTTTATTATTTCTTTCTTATGCAGTAGGAGGCTCAGTTACTAAGTGACCAAAGGAATAAGGTCAGCAGAAACTTCACGGCTGAAATGCTGCAGAGCAGTGAGGATAATAGAAGGCTAGGCCTTGGAGGCACATTTTATGCTTAAATAAGCCTGTGTGAAATCAGGACAGAAATTTCTATACAGAACCAGGCCTATATTCTACAAAGAAATGACCCCTGTTGTTCAGATAGTCATTCCTACCCTGCTCATCTGTGCTATTTTTTTGTAAGTTCAAAGCATGTACATTTAAATTATAAGACTGATTTAATAAACTGAAAGGCCCAGCTAGACTTACATTTTCTAAAACATACAAATATTGGAAAAGAAAATCACCTTATAGTTTTCTTTTTCTTATAACAAAAACCCAACAGATGTTCTGTTTAGAAAATCCGAAGTTAAAAAAAAATCAGAAGTTATAGAATCAAAAAGAAGAAAATGGGTCAAGATAGTAATGGATCATATCTACCCTCCTTCCTGAAACAAATAAAATATTGCACAAAATATATAAAACAATAGCTCTCAAGACAATGGACATCAGGACAGTGATCCCTTAGAGATCACTGGGAAGAACTTAACCCATATCCTCTCTGAATTCCTACCGAGCCAGTACTGCCATGTGTAGTGCTTAAGAGTTATCTAATTTTCAAATGTGTGCTAATTATACACCTTCAATAGAAGCTCATTAACCAACTGAAGTGCATAAAGCACTGATTTGGGTACTAGGGTGTAATCAAAGGTGAATAAAAACTGTGTCTGCCCTCAAAATTGTATAGCAGGGACAAAGCATAATATCATCACCAAGTACAATAGCATGATGCTAAACTGCAATAGTTTAGATGAGACACTCTGCTCTGGGTGATCAGGGAAAACTTCACGCAAGAGCTGATGTTTGAGTGAGATCTTGAAGGTTGAGTAGAATACTTTTATGTTGAAAGGGGGAAGAGAGCTTCACAGGTGAAAAGACTGGGAGAAGCCAGAAGCAGAGGAGTAGAAAGTGGCAAAGTTGTACACTTCACGCTGGCAGGGACTGTATCACATACGTCTTTGAATCTCTCACGGCATTAGAACAGACAAACCTTGGAGGTATTGCGGAGATATTGCGGGTCTGGTTCTAGACCACTGCAATAAAGGGAGTCACATGAATTTTTTGGTTCCCCAGTACATATAAAAGTTAGGTTTACACTATATTGTAGTGTGCAATAGCATCACATCTAAACAAACAACGTACATACCTTAGTTAAAAAATACTTTATTGCTAAAAATGCTAAGCATCACCTGACAACACAGGGTTGCCACAAACGTTCAATTTGTGGAAAACACAGTATCTGCGCAGTGTGATAAAATGAAGTATGCCTGTATAGTCCACATGCAGTAAGTACTTGCTGGGTTGAATTACCTAGACTTGGTTTTAAGTGGTTTCATCTAGTTCCTAAGTGAATAATGTGTTACAAGTGAGGTAGAGAGCTATATCTTTTATAAGCCTGGGTTAAGTGCAGGAATTTATACTACTAAGACTAAAATTGGAAAGGTAACTTAAAAATAACTTTAATGGCTTTTTTCCAGGCAGCATAGCCATACATAAAGTAGCTGGTGCAGAAGGATCCAGTCCCCAGTTGTGCAAATATTACTTTTTTTTTTTTTAATTTTATTTTTTTTGCTGGGCCTCTCCCATTGTGGAGCACAGGCTTCGGACGCGCAGGCTCAGCGGCCATGGCTCACGGGCCCAGCCGCTCTGCGGCATGTGGGATCTTCCAGGACCGGGGCACGAACCCGTGTCCCCTGCATCAGCAGGCGGACTCTCAACCACTGCGCCACCAGGGAAGCCCCAAATATTACTTTTGAAGTAAGTAGAAGATAATATCCTCTTTTGCTCTAATTTAGTAAAATTATGACATTAGCAACCTTTTAAATAAATTACAAAAAAGGTGTTCATTACATCCATACTATATTTAGAAGCCATCTTACCACATATTAGTTTTGGGATAGTAATTGATATAATTTTTACATTATCTGGAATTTCAAAGAAAAACAATGTTTTATTCTGCTAATGCAGAAACAACCAGAGTTCATCAGAAGTGTCATTTAAAAAATTAAAAAAAATTTTCTTCTATGAAGTGTCATTTTTAATCCTCAGTCCCAAACTTCCAGGAACTTTGGAATAAAATAAAAAATGCAAAAGAGCTGTGATTTAATAGTTCCAGAAACTGCCAGGTTCTAAGTTATCAGTGTGTTAAGCCAACCTGCATAACCATTTGTAGACTAAGGCTCATTGTTCCAAGACTGATGTCACTAGTCTAATTTTGAATGTGATGTGAGTGATGGGAAATGAAGGTGAAGATCAATCTCACTGTGTGGTGGGTGTATGATTTGGAAAAGAAACTGGGGATTATACATAAAATGGTCCCTAGCAAAACCATGCCTTACCAGTGGAACTGAAATCCACAGGCCCAATCCACTTGAAGGCGGGTTTCCGGCCTCGCTCTTCTGTTACGTGCACTTTCTTTATCAGTGCCAAGCTGGTCAGAACATTGGCTATGTCATAGAGGCGTCGTACCTTTGCTAGAAGATATAAAGACAATTGTGGTCACACCATACATTGGTCAGCAACACCATTACGTTTTAGTTTATGTGACAGGTCACTTTCTAGCCACGATATATAAGCCTCTAGCAGAGAGCATTGAGGTAGCGTGAAGAGACCAGTGGCTCCGGCGTGAAATCACCCAGGATTTATGTATCTGATGACACTACTAAGGGAAGGTCACTACTAAGGGAAGGTCACCTCGTACAAGAGGAACCTGGTGACAGGCTAGGATCGCTGTGATTGCAAACGTACCAAGAGAGGGAAATGGGCTGTAATGAAAGGCTTAGGAAATGTAATTCTGATCTGTGGCTCGTCAAAAGCTTGCCTGGAGTTTCTTGCAGCAGGAGGTGGTGGCACCTGCTCCATCAGGCAGCTAGGCTGTGAAAATGACAGGGATTCCCCAGAGCTTCCTGAGAGGCTGCACTGCTGGGCACACAGACTGTCTAGGGCTCAAGGTTACGAGGTATGACTGTGCTGAAGACAGGCAGCGCCTCACCTTCAATCCCAGCGTTCTGGCCACCCAGTGGGGGAGGGGTGGGATGGGCATTCCCTGAGTCTGAAGAGGTTTTGGGAGAGACATTTGAAAGTACAGGGATTGGGGGAGAAATTCAGAGGGGTGGTAACACATTAAACAGGCAGGATGATGCCCACAAAGTAAGTTCTATTCAAGAAATCAACGTATAGGTCGGAAACCTACTTGAACTTGGGGCTAGGGTCAAGCAAAGGGCTTTGATTACCGACCAGAAACATCAAGCATTCACCCCAGATGCCACAGTCTTCCCAATCCTGATAGAGCTGGATTTTATCTAGTCATTTCTCCCACAGGGTGGGTATACTCCCAGCTGGAAACAAACAAACAAAAGCTAGAGAATGCTCAGCTCATGGTTTCTCAGGGCTTGGATGAGCTACCAGGAGCCAGGGGCCTTTGGCTCAGGACCCAGGTTTGACGGAAAAGGAAGATGCACGGGGTGTGAAACTTGGAAACACTTTCCTCGTCCAGCAGCCATGTCCCACCACCCCTATACCCTACCCTGCTCATTCCTCTGGTTCTTACCTGTAGACAACTTTCATGTCCACCCATCAGAAGAGTATGCAGGGGGCAAGGAAAGAAGGGAAAGAAAACTCAGACATTCCGTCTTGGATGCAGTGATACTAAAGAGAAATGCAAAGCCTCTTACGTCCTCCCTGACCTGCATTTGTGGGATGCCATTCTGCTTCTACCATCCACTCTGCCAAGGAAAGGGCATCAGACAGAACTTTCACAGGAATTCTAGTATGTGACCAGCTTACCTCTCACAGCACCAAGAACCTTTATGAAGGCAGGAAGGAGTGCACGTCTCAAAAAAAAAATAATAATTTTTTAAATCTCTGAGGCAGCAAACATCAGCATATGACATCCCACTCTTTCTGTGCTAATAAGTGGATTTAGGTGAAGACGCTTACTTTTAAATTTACTATGATCCGGCGTATCTTGGCTTTCTTCTATCAGTATTTTGGCAGCCACATCAAGAGTAACAATCTTGGTTTTGGAGACCAGGAATAGCATGACAAATTTCTGGCTCATAATTCTCAGAGACTTATCTTTTCTACTGTTTGCAGATGCTACAAAGGGAATAAAACAAAAGCGTCAAAACGTAATTCACCATAAGAGAGACTGTACTTCTAGTCTGCCAGACCTATCTAACTGTATCAGCAGATGGAAACATCACTCTTGTTACAGTGATCAGCGGAAGCCTGTTGGACACACATCATAAAAAGATGGTTCCCAAAGAAATAAGACAGATTTTCTTGTGGGTCATAAAATTACAGTAGGTATAAATTCTGAAATGCTTTATATTCATACTTCATTGAATAGAAGCCATGAAGTGGTTTTCCTGAAGCAATTTTGGAAAAGATCAAAGTAGAGGGATAAAAGGATAGAGTTAGGGACCAGGAACTATTTTCAGAACATCAACTCTTCCCTCAATGGCAAGGTCTCCACTTTTATGTCTCTGAGCCCACAATAGCTAGACTATACCCTCCACATAGTAGGCACCCATCTCTTCCATTGCTTTTCAGAAATAAGTGAAGAAATAAACAATAAGTAAATAGGATACACTGATTAGATGTGTTGCCGTAGATGGCAGGCAAACCATCACTGACAGATGGCTGTCTCCTCTGGTTATGAGGATAAGAACTGGCTCATAGGGTGGAATTAAAAGGCACGAGGTAGTAAATGGAATGAAAGCCAGGCCCACCCTTCCATTCCTATTGCTTATAAATGCAAGTGAAACGTGAGGGATACCTGCACTTTATTATCTTAGCAAGGAGGAGCAGGGTGAGAATGAAGATCAATGGTTAAAGGAGGGACAGCATAAATATGAGCTGGAAGGGGAAGAACAGTGTAATATAAGTAAAAAAAAATCTGCATCAAATAAAGGCTGTCTATCTTTCTAATCAGTATTTTCTGCTAATGGGGTTCTTTTCTAAGTCATCTACTCCAGTATATAATTAAACAAATAGGATCCTTTGAAGAGAGAAATTCTTTCCAAGTAAATTTTCCTTAAAGGCTCACAAGCAGGAATCAGCATGGGGCTGTCAATCTGAAACGGGAGCGCTGTTCGAGATCTACGGTCCAAACACACCAAATACCAAGTGAAACTGCCACTAGACAGTTTTTCAGTGAGGTTGAGTGGGCAGCCCAGTCAGGAAGCCATCTGTCTCCCTGTCTTCAGCAGAGAGAATAAGAGGACATCTCCCTCCAGGGTGGTCCATTTGGTTCCTCCCATCTTAGCAGTGACTCTCTTCAGAAGACACCATCGCCCTCTCCCTGCCATTACTCGTGTGGGTACCGTGGACTCACAAGAGGGATAGTCCGGTTCAGAGAAATCCAGTAACTGTGGATCCTGGGAATCTGGACAGCCATCTCTTTTGCGTTCCCCAAATTTATAATCCATCAGGTCGAGCTCTTTCTGTTGGAGGTGTGCCATCTGCTCTTCGTATTTCTGCTCCTCTCCTAGCCTCTGGAGGTTCCTCAGGGTTTTCGGCAGGCTGTGCCGTCCGTGCCAGCCGTACTGATTCTTGGCCACCCGGCTGACCAGATGCAGCGACTCCAGCACATTCACAATGTCGTAGATGCGTCTCCTTTCAACGCCTGTTTGAAAAAGAGAAGCCAGCCATCATCATGCCGACCAACATTTTTGAGTATAAAGTCCTTGAAGGCTTGGACCTTGTCTGTGGACTATTTTGTGTGATACTCTGCCCAGCAAATATAATTGCTCAACAAATTCATACTATATGAATGCAAGCAAAAGAAATTTTTTTCTTCTTGGGATCCAACTCTCGATAAGATCTAGGATAAACATCCACCTTGAGATGGATGACAGTTCCATCTGTATTACATAAATAGTAGAGCAACTTTTCTTTGGACCTGTTAGGCAAACCACACGAACATTTCAGTGCGTTAAAACTGGTGGGCTTCAGCAACACACGTCATAGTAATAAATGCTTGGTGAATGTTGGATGGTTGATTTTAACTTGTATTCCTAGTTATACAGACTATAGAACTGTGTCCAGTAACTGTTAGCTCACTATTGGACCACATTCTCCTTTCCTGGAGTTTGAATGATGTGAAAAAATTACTTGTTAATTCTCTTAATGGCCAGTAAGGAAAACAGATGGTAAATATTTTGTTTCCCATTTTGCACTGGCAACTCAGGAGTCAAGGGCTTGGGCACCCTTCTCAATTTGCTGGAGGAAGCTAGTGCCAGGGCTGGAACAACGTACAGGCTGCCCTCTGCTCATCACACCTGTGGACAACTCTCCCTGGGTTCCCATTCACTGTATCCTGCCAAACAGCCCATTAATAAACTCTAGCAGAGGCTGACCATCCAGTTCATCAATTCCCTACCCACTTTCCCAACACTCCCTAAATAGCCAGGATTACGAGCAGTCTATTGAATTTACTAAAAATATTTACGCTGGTTAAGCGCAGGGGCTTCAGGGTCAGACTGCATGAATTGGAATCCCTGCGTTATCCCTTACTAGTCGGGTGAGCCTGGGAAGTTACTTAATCTCTCTGTGCCTTAGTATTTATCTCATAAAATGATGAGCATTAAATGTGATCATAAACTTAAAGGGTTTCTGATAGGTGTTAATTTATCTACTCTTTGTATGTTATTTGGTAAATATCAGTACTTCCTGCGTGGCACTGGAGACACCTAAAATTCCTGCTAGTATAAGAGGTGACAGTAGAAACAGATTTTTAAATCTTCCATCTTGACTCATCCTGTTATGCAATAGGCCCTTAGGCTTTGGGGACTCAACTGGCCCCTTGTGCTCTGGCCTAAGTATCCGTAACAAAAGCCTCCAGGCATCTCTCAGAAGACTGGCCCAGGTACAAAAATGCCTTCTTTCTCTTCACTTGCCAAGAGCTGTTCTATAATCAGGGCAGGCTTGGTGCACGTAGCTCTTGGCCTTTCAAAGATTTAACACAAGAAATAAACCAGGTTACAATGAAAACTGTGGAGCTGAGAGGAAATTCTACCCCATGCATGAAGAGGCATTTTGCAGTCAGAACATTTCAGCTCATGACCTGGAAAGGCTCTTCACTCTCAAAATCTCAGCTTTGGTGCCAGATGCCTGCTGGAAGGTGTTGGCCAGAGCAGTCAGCAGCCCCTTGTCCAGATCTGCCTGGCTCCTTATTTCAGTCTGTTTTCATATATTAACACATCTTGTTGAGAGTGGAACGTTATAAACCTTCCCATTAGAAATGTCATGTGAATGCAACTGAGACAGCCCAGGGCCAGCCATATGTCTGGCTGTTTTGTTATTCTGTATTAGACACAAGCTGCTAAGTCTCCATCTAGTGGCTAGACATCTCAAGAAATAAAGGAAGATCTGGACAACTACGAGAGGAAGATGATGCTTGCTCTGCACCATAAGTGTTCAGAAGGTGGTGCTGGCAAAAGCCCATAGGCAGCTACTTGCCTGAATAATCACTCACCTTTGCAATCTGGACTAACTGTCCACTGGCTGGGTGCGCCTAAACTTCCCACGTCACAGGTCTCAAGTCCTGCAGGTAACTCTGGGGTTTGCTCTGCCAGGAAAGTCTTCCCTGGCACTGAGCCTTCTTTTTCTTTTGTATTCAAGGCAATCTGATTAATCGTAGGCATGGCATTAGTTATGCCCTTGAGGATTTACCAATTGCTACCATGCTTCCCTTATCCCCCATAGAGCTTATCAAGAGCATCTCAACCCAATAAATAGTTTCCCAGGCTGTGTAACTTTCCATTTACTAAAGTCACTCCCAGTTCTTTAACCTCTTACCTATAATATCAGTATTGAATCTACATGAGACAAGAAACTGGGAATGAATGCAATTTGAATGCATTGCACATCCTTGGTTAAAATACGGTCTTATAGCTTGTGACCTGGGACAGAGCAGGAGTTTAGACTCAATCCCAAGAGATGGTTACCCCCTAAACAGCTTCTAGGAAGGGACTCCATTTTTACAATCTCACGTGAAGAGAGATGGCAGGTTCATCTGGCAGGTCTTGGAAATTGTGAGACAGCAGGAAGCTGTTGCAAAAATCTTTGGCATTCTGCTCCAGGCGGTCATAACATGGGGATTTACAGCCCATATGAGAGTAGGATCCCACTCTTCTGTCCTCCCTGGGACCTGTAAGGTAGCTTTCCAACACCTAATCTTTTGTCTTCTGCACTGATATCAGTGCAAGGACTCTTGATGAGGCCTGGGTATATGGAGGAAGGTGGCTTCATGAACCCCAATGAGAAAGACATCGTACGATCTGTTGTTTTACCCTCATCTTCTTTTTTTAAATTTATTTTTGGTCGTGTTGGGTCTTTGTTGCTGAGCGCAGGCTTTCTCTAGTTGCGGCGAGAGGGGGCTACTCTTCGTTGCGGTGCACGGGCTTCTCACTGCAGTGGCTTCTCTCGTTGTGGAGCACGGGCTCTAGGCACGCGGGCTGCAGTAGTCATGGCACGAGGGCTCATAGTTGTGGCTTGCGGCTCTAGAGCGCAGGCTCAGTAGTTGTGGCGCACGGGCTTAGTTGCTCCGCGGCATGTAGGATCTTCCCGGACCAGGGCTCAAACCCGTGTCCCCTGCATTGGCAGGCGGATTCTTAACCACTGCGCCACCAGGGAAGTCCCTACCCTCATCTTCTTAAGACTAGTTTCCAGGACCCAGTTCCTCAGCTATGGCTACACCAAGCCTCTGTCCAGCTGGCTCACCTTCCCCTTCTTGGTTCATTGCTACCAATGCCAGAATACTGTATTCTACTTCTGGGTTCTAAAATGGCTCTCCGTCAAAGCCCTCTGCTTCCTCCTAGCTGTATGGGATCACAGGATGGCTTGAGGATGGTGGAGGGGGTGGGGGGAGTACCTCTAATGAGAGCTGAGTAGAAACTGTTCCATGTAGCAATAAGAGTAAGCCAGGCTCTGAGTTGGGCATGTTACTGACATTATCCCCAACTTTTCTAAGTTTCTGCAAGGTAGGTGCTATGGTCCCTAGGCTGTAGTTGAGAAAAGAATAATTAACTTTTTGGAGATCTCACAGTCTATAAATTAGAGAGCTGGGCTTGAAATCCAGCTCTGTCTTACTCAAAGTGCAGCCCATGGTCTTCCCATCACAACACACTGGTTCCTCATTACCTCAATTTCCAGCAAATAAAATCTTTTTAGCCATGAGTTTGAATAATTCAGAGTGATAATCATCTACTGGGTCACATTCTTTGGGCTATGGGAAGATATAGAACTAATAAACAAACTAAAAATATACTCTATCATAAAGCCTACTGGGCTGACTTCTTCGAGCCTTTTTTTCCCCTGTATGCAAACCCTCCTAATCTTTTAAGGGGACACTCTGACATCTTCAAATCATGTGATTTCTACTTGTTTATTGTCAACAGTATGTTCATTCTGAAACCAACTGCAATCCACGTCCACTAGGAGTCTCTATTCTGAATCAGCGGCCTGCATATTTATAGTCCAGACACCACTGCAAATACACACACCCACGCCATGTGAACGCTTGTATTCCTCTTTGTTATAAGGCTTAGCTGTTTGAGTTATATCCAGGTGTGCTTTTACTAGTTGGGTAGACTTGCTGTGAAGGTCACAGTATAGGGCTTCAAACATAATGCTCTTGCTTTCAAATCATGCTTTATAACAAAAATAACACCAGTTCTGCTGAAAAGCAGAACTTTAAAGCATTTTAAAAAATAAACAGAAGGATATTTCTAAATATCTTTTGAGTCTGTCTGAAATAACATGGAATTAAGATATTAGATATTAATTTGTAATGTAAGTCTTCTGTAAACATATTTTTTAAGGTTAAGAAAACCAAATATTTGTTTGACCCTCAGGCCTAAAAGGCTCCCTGGAATTCTATGCATAATGATGATGACAGAAGAAAAGCTCTACCTGCTCCTCTGTCCTCATTACTTTTTTTTTTTTTTTTTTTTTTTTTTGCGGTACGCGGGCCTCTCACTGTTGTGGCCTCTCCCGTTGCCGAGCACAGGCTCCGGACGCGCGGGCTCAGTGGCCATGGCTCACGGACCCAGCCGCTCCGCGGCATGTGGGATCTTCCCAGACCGGGGCACGAACCCGTGTCCCCTGCATCGGCAGGCAGACTCTCAACCACTGCGCCACCAGGGAAGTCCCTGTCCTCACTCTTTTGAGGGTCAGCTCTTTACTTAGTAAAGGAAGTGATCTGAAGCCTTTGGCTTGCCCGAGGAATCAACTTCTCACCGTAACTGGAGACAGGCCTCCAGGTGATCCCACGATACATACCGAGACTGACAGCAACTTCATCTAGGGAGATGGTAGTTTTCTCAGTTGACAGTGGATAACTTGGATAGCGAGCCAGAAACTTCTGGCACAGGAGTCCTAAACTTTTCTGTTTTCTGCTTGGCCTTTGCTTTTCAAATTCGTCCACAGCACTGTCCCCAACAACATCAAGCTACAGAGGGCAGACAGAGGGAGGGGGGAAATGTCACAGTTAACATCTTAACAGAGAAATTGCAATGGGTGGTATTGGCGAGTGGAGGGGTACATCCAAATCCATACCATCCTAGATTCTGGAAATGTATTTTCCTAATCTAATTTTCTTAACATTTTACCTATTGCTTTCTCTGAACTGAACTTTTCCTCCTTTGTGATTTGAGGCTGAGTCTACTGTTTAAAATCAGAAATGAACAATGCAGTCATTTATAGGTTGCTACAGCCTTGATTTATAGGTTGCTATACCCTTGCTACTAGCGTGCTTGTTAGACTGAGATCAGCGTCACCAGGAGCATGTTAAGAGATATAAAACCTCAGGCCTCACCTCAGACCTGATGTATCGGAATCTGTCTCCTCCTAAGATCCTGTGTAATTCCTATTAACGTGAACATTTGAGATGTACTTGCCTGCAGTGTGTCACCAAACTCTTTATTTTTCACAATTTACCAAGGGTTGATGGAACTGAACAGGGGGAGCTAAATCTTATTCTTCTGTATTCTTTCTTATTGTAAGTACATTAAACTAGTGTCCTTGTCTTATCAACTCACATTTGAAAAAGGCTCAGTTCAAGCCCCAAGAAAAACTTTTTTTTTAAAGTGTAGATATGCTGCTTATTCAGTAGCTCTGGTTCCCTACAGGACAGGTAATTTAAAGATGATTTAACTTTAAAGCCCCAAACCAACGAACTGAACATACATGAGAATGAGAAAATTCCCCAAGTCAAAAACATTTCGATTAATATTACCCTTAAAATCAAAGCAAAAATTATAATTCATGGCAGCATTAAAAAAAATCCAAATTTCTTCATTAAATCAAAATTATTAAATATCATTGCTTAAAAAATTTATCATTTAAAAATGTGTACTGGTAAAGACAGTATCACACAGAAGAAAAGAAAGCATTCATTATGAAAAATGAGATATAGAATAAGAGTTCCACTGCAGCTGTAAATAAATAAAAAGATTAAGTAGAGTACTGCTTTTCACTCAATAGTAACTGAAAAATTGAGAATTCTGTGACTTTGTAATAATCAGGTAAACATTTTAAAATGCTATGAAAGGTGTTAGGAGCACAGCCTGTTTACCTGCAGACAGTCTGTAAATGCATCATCCTTGTTCTCAATGGGCCTGAACAGTCCTTTTTTCTTCTCTCTGTCTCTTATGTCTGGGCTGGCAGCACTAATGAGCATCTTCAGGTTAGCGGTGGGTGTCCATGGTTCTGCTTGCTGTCTGTCGACAAGCTTAACTGGAGTGATGGGATTTCTTTCTGGAGTGAAGATTTTTTGTTTGGATAAGTCAATTGGTTCACTTTTTATTGGTGTCTTTGGGGCCATCCTTGAGCGATCAACAAATATATTTTCCTATTTTAAAAAAGAGACCTTTTAGCGAAAATGAGAAAGGGCAGGTATTAGCTAAGAGTACACTTTATTCCCATTATTCACTAAGTCATGAAAATACAAAGAGACCTATATGTTCAGGGCTGAAAGGTATCAGGATAGGTAGGACTAATGAAAATAAACAGAAGGATCCATGGGAACCGAAGAGTGGCTGCTACTCCTTTTAAGCATATTTTTCACGGCACCTCTGTGAAAGAAGTCATGAGTGTTAAGCGTCACTGGTGGATGCTTGTAATAGGTGGGGATGCTAATAAGAGCAAATGTGGGTTGAGCCCATATTGCTTCTAAGTGACATATTTTTTAAAGCACTGTTTACGAGTTTGCACTAACTAGTGAATAGCAATTATGCTTTTGTTCAATGTTCACCAGGGCTAATACAGCAATTACCAGGACAGATTAATTGAAGGGCATCCAACAAAATGCCACATTTCAAACCACCCAGCTATCTAATGTCACTGCCCCTGAGCAGTGCTTCTCAAACTACCCCTGGTGAGGGACCAGGGTTTTTCACAGGCTGCAAACTCCCGGAGACTGATACATGGTCTCACTTCAGAGGACTCATATGCAACTCCCATCACACGTGACTCTCCTCTGAGTTTGCCACTCAACTTGACCTACAGCTTGCTCGACAAGAAGAGACCACTGATCACAGGTTTAGATGTCACAGGGGCAAGATCAACTGAATTACTGTAGAGGTTTCTAAGTGCTGAACTCTCAAGTTCTGTTCGTAACGTTTTGCAGCTTGGTAATAGTTTGTGGCCTAGCACCTTCCCCCAGACTCTTTGAGTAGACTATCTTAGATAATTAAAAGAAAAGATTAATGATGGGTCCATGAATCCGTTAAGAGAAAGGACTAAGTACACACAACTCGCATTTGGAATTACTAAGTTATCAAAACAAATTTCTTTCCCCTAAAATAAGTTTTTGCCATCCAAACCCAGAAAGATTCTGCTCTTCCCATAGTTGAACTCACCTCCAGGTAATAGTGCCTTTACATAATTAGGAAGGTGGATGAATTACATATTTGTCACTCCCTTTCCTGCACACAATATCACTCTATAGATCATTGCATGCTTGGATTTTGGCTGAACAGTGGTTTAAAAAAAAAGTGTTTTCCTATAAACAGGCAACATGTGAAGAAGGAAAAAGAATTGTTTGGGATGGACTTCCCTGGTGGCGCAGTGGTTAAGAATCTGCCTGCCGATGCAGGGGACACGGGTTCAAGGCCTGGTCCGGGAAGATCCCACATGCTGCGGAGCAACTAAGCCCGTGTGCCACAACTACTGAGCCTTCGCTCTAGAGCCTGCGAGCCACAACTACTGAAGCCTGCGCGCCTGGAGCCTGTGCTCCACAACAAGAGAAGCCATTGAAATGGGAAGCCCGCGCACCACAACGAAGAGTAGCCCCTGCTCGCCGCAACTAGAGAAAGCCCACGCACAGCAACGAAGACCCAACGCAGCCAAAAATAAATAAATAAAATAAATAAATTTTAAAAAATTGTTTGGGAGAAACTGGAGTTTGCAGTAGCAGGCCAACTCTTGTTCTCTGGATCAGCAGAAGCTGCCAGCTAGCCATGGTGAGGTTCTGTCCTAGGGTAGCAGGAAACGGGTGGAGATGGGGGCGACGGTTTCTCATGCCACTGCCGCAGTAAGCATCCAGCCTGAGGCAGTGCATCTATTCACATCTCTTAACAAATCCCTACTACTATACAATTCTGATGAAGTCTTCTACAAGGGAACTCTCAAGGGAAAGTACTGAGTGCATATTACGTGCTACACATGATACCTGTTTCATGCACTTTATACCTATTAACTCCTCATCCAATCCTGTAACCGAGGTAGTAGTATTTTTCTAGCCTACAGATGAAGAAACTGAGGCACATAGAGGGTGCCTTGCCCAAGGTCACATACAATCTCATTCAGTATAAAAGTCATTGGTAAGGCAAGAAATAGCTGACAGCAGAAGTTTCCAAAATTCTGCATCTAGAAGTAAGCTTGTCCTGGATGTGAACTGGGCGGAAGTTATCTTTTTCGCAGCTCCAACAAAAGGTATCCGGCAGGCCACGGATCCCCACTACCCTCTATGGAGAGGCAGCATGGGAAGCACTTCTGCATGCGGGCTGGTAGGGCCAGCTTACCGGCCTCTGCTACTTATCAGCAGGGTGAGAGCAGGCAATTCCCTTCTCACTTTAATTCTCTCAACTGAAAATGAAGTTCATACAAACACTGATCTCCAGAGTTATGAGAATAGTTCCTGGCATATAGTGATCACTCAATAAAACTTAGCTATTCTCTCTACCCCCGCTGCACTTCCTGTTCTTTATTACCATCCATCCTGGCCCTCAGAGCTAATATAACATAGCACGCTGTACTGCTAATTAACTTCCTGGGCGTGTGTCTTGTCTCATTGACGAGACTGTGCACTTCTGGAGGTCAGGGAGCTAGTTCCACACGTCCCAGTCCTCACAGTTTTTGGCACAATGCCTTCCCCTTCGCATGTGCTCAAAGAACACAGGGCCTTGATTATCTAGTTATTTCAAAAGGAATCCCAGTGGTGGAGGGCGTGTCCCAGGCTTGTCGAGGTGCAGAGATTCACCCTTCTCCACGCCCCTCATGGTACTTGTCCTCCCAGGAACACTGAGCTCCTACTTTTCCCTACCAAGGAGCAATTCAGATGAATTATTTCCTCCAGCACTTCGACATATTTTCACTACAGTTTAAGTAATACTTAAAGTAGGAGGGGAGTTACGTCACGTGGTGGGTTAAGACCGTTATCACACCTCTACTCAGCAGAAAAAAATGCCAAGCGAATTGTTTTCTGAGGTTTCAGGTGGGCAGAAAGTCAGCTGCAATCTAATCACACCCTGCTCCATCCGTCTGTCTGTCCTGCAATCCTGACACTGTAGAAGGCAAAGGAAAGGGGATTGGAATGAGAATTCAGAAATAGAGTGGTTTTTGACTCCACTCTATATCTTTCTGATACTGCACAAATTGTTCATTTTGTCTGGGCCCGTTTCCAGATCTTTGAAATAAGGGGTTCAGACCAAATTATATATCTCCAAGGCTTTCCAGCAAGGCTACCCAGCCATGTGGTGGACACTGGGATGCACCTGGCTCACTTCTGGAATGAATGACTCGTTTCCCCAGCTGCTGGAGTAATGCCAGTAGTAAGCCTCTTCACGCTTTGGCTGAAGAGGGCTGACTCATCCGGGATCACACGCCTTCCCGAGAGGCCAGTACTGTCCTCAGTGGCTGGGAGAGGCAGCATTGACATGTAACAGCTTCGTCCCCTTACCCCGACTCAGGACTCCTCCGAGGGGTCGTCCCTGAACTCCCTATGGGGTAAACCCAACTTCCACTGAGACTGTTCTGCAGCTCTGCTTCTCCCTCTGTCTAATTCTGCTGCCTTCCCTTCCCTTAAATGGGCTCCCATCCCCAGGGCACTCCCTAATAAACCACCTGCACACTAATCTCCACATCAGATCTGCTTGCCATGAAGTCAAGCTGCAACACCCTGGAAATCACCTCTTCAATTAGAGAGGGCCTGGAGAGAGTCCCCAGGAAACGGGTTCTCCAGTTCTCATGTGCCAATGGAGGTGATGCACCTTGGCTTACCTGCCATGCAGTTGCTGTGAGGATCAGATCAGATAATGAGAGTGAAAGCAGTTTGTAGTCTGTGAAGTGCTGTGCAAATGTTCATCACCATCATCATCATTATTATTTATTATACCGGCATTATGACTGAGCTGTAAGCTGACATGGAAAGGACCTGGTAATTAGAAGATCTTGGTTCTAGTCTTGCTTCTGTCTCAGATACAGCTTTGATCATGTTACCTCAAATAGTACATAGTCATCAGCCTGTTCATTGCCCTTGGTGACATTTTGCCAACCTCTTTTCCGGTCCCATCTCATGCACGTCCCACATTTTGTCCAAACCGTCCACTCGTTCTTCTTCAAACCTGCCCTGAATTTTATCACATCTGAGCCGCTGCTCACACCATCACGTTGACTCTAATGCCATGGGCTAAGCTTTGCCCACTGAAACCCGACCTACCGTTTTAAGACTCATTGCAAATATGACAGGCACGTCAGGAGGCGTCTCCTTCTAGCTATCGACTAACAACTCTCCTTCCCTTCAGAGCACACTTTCCAGAATGAGTAATCCACACGGAGGGCTTTCCCCTGCCTGCCTCCCAGGGGGTTCCTCAAACCACCAGTCTGCTCTGATCCACTGCTCTCACTTCGGTCATCTGTCAGTTGACAAGTCAATGGCAAAATATTGCACTTGACCTCACTGCAACGGTTAACACTGTTGACTATTTGCTTTATAAAACTCTCAGTCCTTCTGAGCTACCACTTTTTTCTCTCTTGGCTCTCTTCTGACTGTTCCTTCTCAGCCTCCTTCACTGGCTCCTCTTTTTCCACTCTTAGAAACTCAGCCCTCCACACCTCCCTATTTGCTCTCTCCAGGGCAGCTCACCCACTCATGTACAAGGCTTTAAAACCAACCTGTATGTTGTTAATTCCCAAGTTTGTATCTGGCTAGGACTTTCCGTGAATTCCCAGATCAGGCAACCAACTGCCTCTTGCACATATTTTATTTACCTGTAATCACACGGGTACAAATATATCCTTCAAGTTGAACCCACCTTCTTTTTTAACCACTCCCAAACGATGAATGACCTTCAAAGAAAACCCATGCCCACTAAGTCTAGGAGTGTCCCCAAATTTACCATGCTGATTTACTTCTTTACTAGTTTCCTTCCTCTTTACTTGCCTTGGTCTTAGCACTCATCCCTCCAAGCCCTAGCTCAAGTGTTATCTCCTTCACAAAGCCCTCCCAACAGCTCAATCCTTGTTGTCCACCGCTTCGTCCCAAACCGTCCCTTTCCTACTTTTGTCATTCCTAAATGCACTGGAGACAACTGAAGAGGAAAGTCTTGCTTATAATCTCACAACTTGGGCACAGTAAGATTGGGTAATGGCATTGAAAACTCCTCTATGTTTTAAAGAAAAGTTTCTCCGTGAGTGGTAAGAAGATGTATGCCTACCTGTAGACCTTGAGCAATGAAGATCAGACAGTCAAGAAAGATAAGCCCTCTAAATGCCGACTGACCCATAGGATACTGTTCCAGGCACCCACCAGAGGGTTTCAAGAAGTACCACTAGCTTCTGGCCACTCTGGAAACTTTGAACATTTCTTGAATGTCCACAGCACATATACTCATATAGATTCTTCTGCCTATAATGACCGTCTTACTCCTTCTTGTTTCCTTATAGTTGAAGTCCTCAGCCCAGATATTACCTCTGTGAAGCTTTCCAACTTTCCCTAGACTCACCATGAATTTCTTTCTTAATCTTCTGTTCTGCTGGGGCACTTGGTTCCCACTCCTATAGCTCTTACCAAATCACAGTCTAGTTGGTGAGTTTTACATCTCAGTCCCTGAAAGTGTCTCAGGTAACCGAGGGCCAGGCCTGCATCACATTCATCTTTGGGCTGTCAGTTCAAATGAGTAAGGTGTGGGGCTTCCCTGGTGGCGCAGTGGTTGAGAGTGCGCCTGCCAATGCAGGGGACACGGGTTCGTGCACCGGTCTGGGAGGATCCCACATGCCGTGGAGCGGCTGGGCCCGTGAGCCACGGCCGCTGAGCCTGCGCGTCCGGAGCCTGTGCTCCGCAATGGGAGAGGCCACAACAGTGAGAGGCCCACGTACCGCAAAAAAAAAAAAAAAATGAGTAAGGTGTGAATAGTATGGGTTGCTGGGTGCTTTACAGACACCCGAAGAGGAGAGGCTACTTATTAATTTCAATTTATGGAAGAAAAAAATAGGCTTAGGGAAGCTAGGAGACTTATTAAACTGCTGTACCCCCAGCCCCTGAAACATAAATATTTGTTGAAAGACTGAATAAATATATTTATTTGAGGTTATGAAGCTAACAAATGGTAAAGCAGGAAATCAAACCCAGATCTCTCTGACTCCAAATCCCACATTCTCGGCAGCCCTAGAAATCCTCCTTCCTTTACTTCACAGCAATGTGAAAAGAAAGACAAAAGCCCAGCCTAGCATCTCGCAGGAGCGCTCTGTTCTCTTCCTTTGCCGTCTCTTTGACAGGTGAAATAAGCCCTGCTCATGTATTTTATTTCAAACATTTTAACCACTTTCCCAAACCTCTATGGCGTCATTTGAGGTTTTCTCTACACCCACTAAAATATGAAAGCTCAGCTGGGCACAGCACTTACTGGGCTAACTAGAGTAGAAGTAACCTTGTTGAAGGCATGATAAAAAGTCATTGACCCAGAAGGAAAGAGGTGGACACTTTGACTTTATATAAAAGTATACACATTCTTTCAAGGCTGTCCCATCCAAATTACAAAGGAAAACAAAAAGTTTTGCTCTGAAACTCCCAAAGCCAAAACTCTGAATATATACTTTAAAGTCTGGGCATTGCCACTCTCAGATGGCATAGCGAATTCTTTAAAAATGCTCTTTAAAAGAATAACGTTTTGGTATACTTCTTTTCCTAACAAAAATAAATCAAATGCTGGAGGGGAAAAAAACCCCTACATGAAAAAGCATACAGTTTCACACCTACCCCAAATTAATGGTTGTCAAGTATTCTTCAAAGGCCCATAGAACAGGTGCTTTGCAACCAGGCAATTTCATTGCGGGTGCTAAGCCTAAAATTAAGCCCAGGAACCAGAGAAGTTCAACGCCTATGGAAGTTGCTATGCTCGGGTTGATATTTAAACTTTCTAAACCTGGGTTTGTCATATCTACTTGCCTCTGCCCAGAAATGCTTAGATGTTCGCTACTAACAAGCTATTACACCTTTTCGGTAGGGCACCGGCTGGTGAGGGCATTGTGCTGACATGGGTCCTGTTTAGACATTGCTATGGCCGGCTCACTTCGTAGTGTGTCTGGAAGACGCTACTACTCTCTTACAAATCACAAGGCATGCAAAAACCACAAGGGAAAGCTCAGTGCAAAACCAGCAGTAACACTGTAAAATATTCAAAGAGGCCTTGGTGAGCTCAGTCACTTTATCTCCCTATATGGGAGACACTGGTCATGCTCTTGGGAGAATGGAACCACCTCTAGGAGCTGGTCCATCAGGATGAAGAACATTTCACTGCACTTTAAAAATCTAGCATTTAGAGTAAAAAAGTCTATTTTTCTGGGAACTGAGGCTTAATATTCCTGCCCAGCATTAGCTAATTCTACTCTTGATAACTACAATTATTACAAACTTTTGATTGCAGTGTCTAGCATATCTTTCATTCATATAAGTCAGTTTCAACATTATATCTAACCACTGCACAGTGACTGAGAAATTCAACAATAATGGTTGGATGCCTCCTCCATTAAAGGAAGAAAAAGAAAAAAAAAAAAGAAAAGCATAGTCCTAAAATGTTCATCAAGATTATTATGTTTATAAGACAAATACAAGTGGCATTTTGGAATCCTGAATTGAATTAGACGTCACCATCGTAAATATGATAGAACTTAAGGTATTTAAGTTCACTTACCTTTTGGGCATTTTCCCCATCTTCAATTGCAAAATTTAGTCTGGGGTTGATCAGGTCTTTTAGTGTTAAACAATTTACCTCCATCTGTAATGCACAGTTACATTAGAAAATGACTTTAAATTGGATATTCTTTCCTTCAACAAAAATATCTATTACTTGCTCATGAACATGAACTTCCGCTCCCTAAACTCATCTTGGGAATTTTCAGGATTGTGGCCACTCCAACTCTCCGAAACGCACACGAACGAGCACAAACACTTAAGTGTGCTTAGTAATTACTGAAATTGGGAAGAAAAAAAAACGATAAAAATAATACTTTTTAATGAAAAGCAACAGGACAAAATTAAGTTTCAAGTCAGGAGAGTGTAGGGCAAATCTGTCAGAAAGCACAGGGTCTCCTAGGTCAGTTAATTTTGGCGCAAAGAACGGGAAGGAATTCGGCTTTGAGGGGTTTTGAATCGGGGGGAAGGAAACCTGATAGCTAGACCAAACCCACTCAGCGCTCAGCGCAGCCCTTTCCCAGGCCTCCGAGCAGACCCCAAATATAAACTTTTCCAGTGAAACCCCCAGATCGCGAGGAAGGGCAAGTTCCCTACTGCCCGGCCGGAGGGAGAGCTGGAGCCCAGACACCCCTCGCACGCCTGGTCCTGCGGCAGCCGGGGAGGGGAAGGGTGGCAGGCTGGCAGCCGGGGCGGGAGGGTCCCCTTTCGCCCCAATTCCCGCCTCCCCGCCAGCGCCGGGGCCGCAAGCTACTTACTCCCCCTTTGCGAAGGAGCCTTCCTGCCTCTACCGGGATCTCCACGACCCCAGAGCAGCGCGGGATCAGCTGGGCGAGTCGATCAGCAGCCGGGCGGCGACATCGGGCGGGGAAAGCGAGGCGCGCAGTTCCCCGCTCCGAGTGCCCTGCGCTAGCGGGGACCCCGCGGCGTCCGGGCAGCGCCAGCGCTCCGACACGCCGAGCGCGACTCCAGCGCCGGATCGCAGTCCCCGCTAAAACACCTCCTCTGGCGCCTTGAGACCGAATTTGAGAATCCACCAATCAGCGGCGGCCGGCGAGGCTGCCCCGGCCAATCGCGCGGCGGCACGGCCCGGGCTCTCGTTGTTTTCTAGCTGTTTTGTAGTTCTCTTGTTCCTTAATCCCTCTCTTGTGGCCTTCCTTTGTGAATTGGTGATTTTCTATCAAGGTATGCTTTGATTCCCTTTTTATTTTATGTGAATCCACTGTAGGTTTTTGCTTTGTGGCTATCAGGAGGCTTATATAAAACATCTTATAGATTTAAGAGTCTATTTTATGCTTGATAACAACTTAACTTCGATTGCATACAAAACTTTACCCTTGGCCGCCCCTCGGAGACTTGGCGCTCCTGGGCGCGCGCTTCGACCTCACCCGCCCAATTGTTGCCGCCTCGCCCCCTCCCCCTTCCGGGTACCTGGAAACCTCGGGCCCGGGAGCCGATTCTTGCCAGGGACGCGGGCCCCGGCGGCCGCGGGAAGCCAAGGTGGGGGCGGCGCGGGGCGGCGGGAGGAGGAGGAGGAGGAGGAGGGGGACTCTTTTGTTATGCGTAAAAGACCCGCCCGTCCAGCGGCTTGCGGCGCGGGGAGACCGCGGGCACAGCCTGAGGAGGGGAGAACAGATGGAGTTTGGAAAAACGATATACACGCTCTGGATGCTGCCGCCGCCACCCCTCCCCCCAGCAACCTGCGCGGAAGCGAAGTTGTCCAGGCTTGTTGGGGCAAACTTTTTAACACGAACGCTGGTGTGACACGTGAACCATGGTTACCACTCTATGCTGCGAGCAGATGGCACGCCAGTTAGCTCTGGAAACTCGACTGCCAGCAGAAACAGCTGTTTTTTCTTTGCAAGTCCAGAAAAGTTTATTGGTGTTGTTACCTTTTCAGAACATCGCCAATAATTAGCCTTATTAAATAACTGTCTGCAGTATGGACTAGCATTCTGGGAAAGTCGAGAAAATTTCCTCAACATTGCTGATTTGTATGAAATGTTTCACTTCCCTCAACCTTAGTTTCTTACTTAAAATAGGAATGTTGATAGAGACAGCCGTGTGTGTGTGTGTGTGTGTGTGTGTGTGTGTGTGTGTTTTAATATACGTTTAAGAACAGCTTTAAATTTACAGAAAAATTGAGACGATAGCACAGGGAGTTCCCGCATATCTAGCACCCAGTTTCACCTATTCATGGACATCTTTACTGTGTAGTGCGTTTGTTAAATGAACCGATATTGCTATATTATTCTTAACTAAAGTCATTATTCAGATTTGTGTAATTTTTATCCAATGTCCTTTTTTCTGTTCCAGGATACAGCATTACATTTAGTCTTCATGTCTCCATAGGCTCCTCTTGGCTGTGACAATTTCTCATACTTTCCTCATTTTTGATGACCTCGACAATGTTGAGGAGTACTGGTAAGTTATTTTGTAGGATGTTCCACTATTGGAATTTGCCAGCCTTCTTTAAAGCATGTCTGCAGACATTTCCCTAC